ATCGTGAATGCATTTGCATTTTTAATAACCAGAAAATTTCATTTAAAAATCAAGATTTCTGGGAATTCCCTGGCGGTCCAGTGGTAGGACTCGGCGCTTTCAGTGCTGTGGGCCCAGGTTAGATCCTTGGTCCGGGAACTAAGATCCCACAAGCCAAGGTTTCCCTGGTGGTGCAGTGATTAAGAATCTGCCTGCCAGGCTTCTCTGGTGGCGCAGTGGTTGAGAGTCCGCCTGCCGATGCAGGGGACACGGGTTCGTGCCCCGGTCTGGGAAGGTCCCACATGCCGCGGAGCGGCTGGGCCCGTGAGCCATGGCCACTGAGCCTGTGCTCTAGAGTCCGTGAGCCACAACTACTGAGCCTGTGTGCCACAACTACTGAAGCCCGTGTGCCTAGAGCCCGTGCTCCACAACAAGAGAAGCCACCGCAATGAAAAGCCTGCACACCGCAACGAAGAGTAGCCCCGACTCGCCGAAACTAAAGAAAGCCTGCACAGCAACAAGGACCCAACGCAGCCAAAAATAAATAAATAAATATATTAAAAAAAAATCTATCCCAGAAAGAATTTAAAAAAAAAATCAAGGTTTCTATCCCATATTTAAAAAATAGAAGATCTTTCAACACTGGATTCACATTTCCTTATGGTCTCTGAAGCTGAACGAACAGCTACTCTCCTTATACAGCATTCTCTTCAGACATGATCTCCATACAGACTTTTTACTCGTTTTACTTATCTAGAGGGATTTACTTTTGGGCCCCTGTAATCTTAATAGTAAACATTAATTTAGTGCTTGCTGGGTGCCCAACACTGTCCTAAGCCCTTTACATGTATTAGTTAATTTAATCCTCATAACAGCCCTGTATAGTAGGTTATTATTGTCCCCTTTTCTGATGAGGAATCTGAAGCTCAGAACTAGTAATTGGTGAAGTGAGCAAATGTGGTAATAGAGTAGTAAATGATAATGAAGAAAGAATTGATTGGGGGAAAATAGATAAATGTGCTTATTGTTGGTGCCCTTTGTTTTGTACACAATTTGAAGACTAAGGCAAGTGCTTGAATTTTGAGACAGCAAGTTGCCTCACTTACTTCAAGATTTGTGGTGTGCCAGGTATTTGAGGTTGATAAAAGTCTGAATGTTCCTAAAATGGGGTGTTACTGTGTGCCTCCCTGTGTGGATATACAAACCAATTTTTAGTTGCTTGGCCCAGAGTGCTACAAGAACTGAGCTTTGTGTCTAACTGCAAGAGTGAAGTGGTGGTGGTGCTGATGGGGGAAACACGTATTTTCACAATGGTAATCAGGAACTCTAGTAACTTCTTCAGGCTTTGAGGAATTTGAATCAATTTTTGGGATCAGAAAACAGGCCTCTTGAATAAAGGCTGTATGTATATGGAAACAAAACAAAATATATTTAAAAAATCTTTTCTGACATCTCTTTCTGTAGGAACAGCAAAATATTTCCCTTTATTTTTTAGGTTGAAAGAATTTCAGCTGCCTTGCTCTCCATGTCAACATGATGTCATTTTCAAAAGAAACACTAGTCTAGTATCAAAAAATTGAAAAGCAGTATAAATCTTAACTGAAGTTTCTTTGAGAGGTACCTCTAATGGACATGTTCTTTTTTCATCTGCCCATCACTTTTTTTTTTTCTTGTGTATCCTTTTGGAGATATTCTGTCTAGGCATGTATATTTGTATGTCCCTATACATTTCTATGTTTCTACCTGCCTATTGGCCTGTCTGTTTGTCCATTTCTCACTCTATAGTCCCCCTCTTTTTTTTTTTGTGGTGTGCCGGCCTCTCACTGTCGTGGCCTCTCCCGTTGCGGAGCACAGGTTCTGGACGCGCAGGCTCAGCAGCCATGGCTCACGGGCCCAGCCGCTCCGCGGCATGTAGGATCCTCCCGGACCGGGGCATGAACCCGTGTCCCCTGCATCGGCAGGCGGACTCTCAACCACTGCGCCACCAGGGAAGCCCTAGTCCCCCTCTTTTACACAAACAGCAACTTACATTCCACACTGGTCTGTACTTGTTTTTTTTGTTGTTGTTGTTTGTTTGTGTATTTCCTATCTTAACAGTATATTCTTAGAAATTGTTTCATATTGTTATCACAGTTTGTGACACCCAAATTTGCCCATCACTTTATGGATTTTTTTCTGATAATAGAACCTTGAGTTTTCTTTGGAGAATGACTCCTCCCCCAATCTTTGTCCCCAGACTAAAGCATACGGTTGGGTATATGATCCAGAATTTGCTAACGAGACGTAATAAGATTTTATTGGAACTACTTGGAAATATGTGCTTTGTTTCTACTGGAATGATTAGCTATAAGGATGATATAGTTTCAACACTGGGGAAAGGCGGGGAGGTGGGGGAAAATCACTACATGAGAATAAACTCTTTGAAGTCCACAGAGAGAGAAGGAGTGACCATATCCTGATGACATTGTTTGCACCCTGGATCCAGCCATACCTGAAGCTATCTATTTATAGATTTTTTCAGTTAAATCAGTTTGCGTTTTTGACAATTGTCGGAAAAAGTCCTCAATATTATAGCACAAAAGAAGAATTCCACTTATTACACATAACAAAACATCTAAAAATCCTTCTTCCTGTTTCTCAGTGTCTCTCAGTATCATTCAGAATGGCAGCTGTGCTAAATTCCTAGTCACAAACCTCTCAAACTCAGATCACTCTACATCTTCATTTTTCTCACTCGCATCCTCAAAACTTTTCTGGCTCTCTTCCTCCCCCACTTCCTCCAAGAGAAACATAAAATCTAGCTGAGCTTTGTGGATGAGTCTAGCCTTCTGAGGCTCCTTTTGCTTCTGTTCCTCTACTCCTTACCTAGATCAGCACAGTTAATGCCCAGGTTGCTTTCTGAACAACAAAGGATCCTTCCTCTTCAAAATGGAGAAAGGCCAAAGATACTTGTTAATTTTGTTCTGGTCTCATTTGTATTCAGTACAAATAGGGGAGATATTAATTCTGTTTGCAAGCAGCTACTCCTGGGGTTACCTTTGGGTAAGCCTTACCAAGATAATGCCTCGATGTTTTGTTTTGTTTTTGTCTGTGTGCTTTTTGAAGGGGTGGGATGGGGAAAGAATTAAACTAGTTAAACCAGTTTGAATATTTTTACAAGCCAGAGAGATGGTCAGGCCTTGGATTCAGACCCAGCTGACATGGAGTGCTAGGGGCAATCGTTACTCACTCTATTGCCTTTTATTTCCTCCCTCTTTGGGAACATTCTTTGGGTTTTCTACTGAAACAGCCGGAGACCCTCATCAACAACCGCGTCACTCAGCAGCTCCTTCATAAACACATTTTTCAGACACTGTGCCCAAGACTCTTTTAAGTGTCCTAAGGATATCAACTCATTCAAAAGCAGGCCAGCTGCAGTTGGGAGAGCACCAGCACTTGCTCCATAAAGATCTAGATTGTCTCTTCCCATCAAGAGGCACCCAAAAGTTCTATTGTGCTGGACACTTAGATGACCCCCAGCCCTTTTGTGGAACACATTGATTCTGAGTAGTCTGAATCCCATTCTTGGGTCTATTCAAACTGTCTTTGATACCCTCAGGCTGGGGGACTTGGTGGGGAGATCACCTAGCATGATGGCTGCCTGGAGCCTGGGAGCTATCAAGATGACTCTGGGAGACATCTCACCTTTTAAAAGTCCCTTCTTTCTTTCTTTCTTCCTTCCTTCCAACATTTATTTATTTATTTATTTATTTGGCTCCACCAGGTCTTAGTTTTGGCATGTGGAATCTTTGTAGCAGCATGCAGGATCTTTAGTTGGGGCATGCGGGATCTTTAGTTGCAGCATGCAGGATATTTTAATTGCGCCATGCAGGCTCTTAGTTGCAGCATGCGGGATCTAGTTCCCTGACCAGGGCACCCTGCACTGGGAGCATGGAGTCTTAACCACTGGACCACCAGGGAAGTCCCAAAAGTCTCATCTTTCTTTGACACATTTTTTTTCTTATGAATCTTCCCAACTGCAGTGAAGTATTATAGTGTCCTGGAATGGTAGGAAAAATGTGGTAGGATAAAGATGGCATGGCACATCCAGGGGATAGTTGAGAATTTAAGGAAGAGGCTATTTTAAAAGGTGTGGGCAGGTTTAAAGGAAACATCTGGGAGCCAGTCCTGCAGGGGCAAGGGTAGCAAGTGGTAAACAGGACTAAGAATGAACTGTAGGAGAGGGCCACAGGATTGGAGTAATGGCGTTCGGATAAAGAATGCAGCCACTGCTAATAGAATGGCCCTCTGAGAATGTGGGGGAGAGGTCCTGAGTAACATCCTGCCCTGTGATGAACACTCTGCCCTGTGATGGACCTCCTGCACATGCCTCCCATTGGCCAAAACCAGACAAAAGCCAGAGGACAGTTGATGTCGTCCATAAAAGTCAGTCCTGAGTCACAGAACAGGGTGGTGAGTGGATCTGGAAGGACAGAGGAAAAACCAGCAGTCATTTCCTATCTTTTTCCTACAGCTAGCACCTTGGTTCAGGCCTCACCCTTTCTTGCCTGGCCTATGCTGATGGCCTTCCTGCCTGTCCTCGTGACCCTGTTTCCAAGAAGCTGTATTCATTCAGCACGGGATTGGGGTATATAGACCTCCGTCCAGGAACCAGATCTGCAGCGTCAAGACCCTTGCCCCAGAGACCTCATCGGTAAAACACCAGGTGGAGCCGGGGGATGCCCGAAGACCTTCCCGGACCACGATTTACTGATGCTAGACATATTTTAAATATCAAGGAATCGACTTGCGACTTTTAAACGCAAAGGGACAGGTGGAAATGGATTGAGGCTGCCTCCCTGCCCCCTTCCAGAAAACCATGTCACTCCGGCAGACCGGCGATTGCTTCAAAACCATGTCACTCCGGCAGACCGGGTCTCTCGAAGGGCATAGGCTAAAGCGATCCCGGAAGGCACTTTCGCGGCGCCTGGGCCCTCCCACCGCGCGAGTAAGGGGCACAAATCCCCGGCGCTCCCCTTTGGTCTCCCACTTGGGCACCTGCCGGTGGGAAGCGAGGGGGAGCAGCGGAGAGCGCAGGCGCAGGGTTCGTGCCTGCGGCGCCGCTCTCCCTGCCCAGCCAGGCGGCCTCAGCCGTCCCTGCCGCGGTTTTCCTGGCGAAGCGCGCGGTGGCCTCAGTGGGCTCAGAGCCTGGACTAGGCGCGCGGCAGCGGGCAGCCCCGGCCGGAGCACCGGGCGCTCCTTCCTCGCCGCGACGCACAGGTAACCGGGCCCCGGCAGCCGGTCGGCAGCAGTGGACTGGGACCTTGACCCTGCCTGCCGGGCCGCCCCACCCGTAAGGAGTGGGAGCGTACCCCGAACCCCACACGCTCGCTTTTAGCCGAGGCACTTAAGAGGCCGAGTCCCTCTTTTGGGGTTAGGCCGGGCCCTGGGCGAAGCGCCCCGCCCCGTTTACAAGCCTTTGCGGAGGCTCTGCTCGACGCCTGAACGGCTGCGGGGCCGCCACTTCCCGGCACTGCTCTCTTGGAAAACCTGGACGCGGGTTCGGTAGGGTCAGTATCAGCTGTGCGCCCCCGTTTCCTGCCACCGTCGCATGTATGGGTCCTTCCCCAGCCTCTCTGATAAAGGCCAGGAGCTACTGCTTTCCTTTCGCCCAGGAACCCACCCAAACAAGGGAGAGTCCCTATGGCGCCATGGGATCAATTTCAAATACAAACTTTTAAGAATGCTGGATGGTTTTAGAAATAGGGCCGAGAATGAGTATTTGCCTTTACTCTGTTGTCTGTCTCTGCCTCTTGGACGCCAGTCTATGTGGGTTGAGATTTTCGCGGAGATTAAACGGTTTGGAGAAATCTTTCCCCAACGAAAGGCGAGGGCAAGGAGGAAGGGCCAGGCCGCGGCCGAATGTAGCGGGTGGAGGCTCAGAGCAAGTCCGCTCAGCCTTCCCCACCTCCGGGGAGGAAAACAGGACCCTCCCTGACCCGGCTCCGGGCTGTAGAATTTCTACGCCTCGTGCGCCCGTTTGGCCTCTTTAGAGAGAAGAGGATGGCAGGGTGCCGCGGGTCAGCAGGAAGGGCGAGTGGGAGCGCTGCGCGGACCCGCATCTCCGGCCAGGCTTTTGCCGGGCTTGGCGAGGAGCGGGATGGAAAGCTGGCGTCTCAGTGACGATTGAGGGCCCGGAGATAGTGACGCACTAGGCGAAAAGGGCTGGGGGCGCCTGGGGAAGGGGCGGTCTCCGCCAGCTTTACGGCTCGAAAGGACTCGATTGGGGTTGCCCGTGTCCGTGGTGCTGAAGTGCTTCAAGCTCCTTCGTCGGCTTACTTCCCGGGCGGCGGCCTGCCTTGCGGTTCTACTCCGCACCGTTGAGTAGCCGCTCTCCAAGGCAGGTGGCCAGAGTGGCGCCGGCTCCCTGGCTCGACACTGAAACCCTTTGCGGATGGGTTGATGCTGGTTTCCCGCACATGACATGAAGGCAAATGTGGCTCGCCCTGGGGTGCAGATAAAGCATATGCATAACAGGTTTGATTTACCTACATGGGAGGACACAGGGTGAGCATAAACATGAACTCTCACGTATGCATATGCATAGCATATGTAGGATGCATGTATGTGTATATGCACACAAACATTACGCACATGTATGAACTCTCACGTATGCATATGCATAGCATATGTAGGATGCATGTATGTGTATATGCACACAAACATTACGCACATGTAAATACACTCATTGGTTTTCAGTGCCATCACACACTACAAGGCACACATTTTTCCCAGAGCTTCTTGTGTAATCCATCTTTATTTTTTGACACGTTTAGTGTTTCTGAACTCCACAGAACCATTAACTTCCATAGTTATCTGTTCCCAAGTCACAGAACCTTGGGAACAGGTGAATTAAAGTGTTTGGTATTTTGCTGAGCAACGAAGTATTTACACATATTTTAATTCCAGAACAAAGATAGTCTAGAAAGATGTAAAATTGATATTGATACAAAAAAGATGTTGCTAAAGGAAGTTTAAACAAAAAGAATTAATGAAAAATTTAATACAGAACAATAGCTAGCTAACGATCTTATGGAAAGTTATAATCTGAAGAAAATATGACTAAGATGTATCATAATGCTGACAATTTCAAATATACTGGTGGGATATGGTTTGTGAACTCTGTAAAGATTACATATATACTTTTCAAAACATTGAATATCTGTGGTTTTTCTCTCATAAAGTGTATGCTCACTGTAAGAAATTTAGGTGACAGAGAAATACATAAAACCAGAGAAAACCATTGGAAATAGATTTTTAAAAAATTGAAGCATAGTTGATTTACCATATTGTGTTAGTTTCAGGAGTGCAGCAGAGTGATTCAGTTATACATATATGCATTATATTCTTTTTTCTGATTCTTTTCCATTATAGTTTATTACAAGATATTGAATATAGTTCCCTGTGCTCTACAGTAAATCCTTGTTATTTATCTATTTTATATATGGTAGTGTGCATTTGTTAATCCCATACTCCAATTTATCCCCCCTTCCCCTTTGGTAACCATAAGTTTGTTTTCTAGGTCTGTGCATCTGTTTTATAATTAAGTTCATTTGTATTATTTTTTTAGATTGCACATGTAAATGATATCATATAATATTTGTCTTTGTCTGACTTACTTCACTTAGTATGATAATCTCTAGGTCCATCCATATTGCTACAGATTACATTGTTTCATTCTTTTTTATGGCTGAGTAATATTCCCTTGTGTATCTATCTATCTATATCTATACCTATATCTCACATCTTCTTTATCCATTCATTTGTTGATGGACAGTTTGGTTGCTTCAGTGTCTTGCCTATTGTAAATAGTGCCTCTGTGAACACTGGGGTGCATGTATCTTTTTGAATTAGAGCTTTCATTTTTTCTGGATATATGCCCAGGAGTGGGATTGCTGGATCATATGGTAACTCTATTTTTAGTTTTTTATGGAACTTCCATACTTTAACAGATTTTCTCTTAGATGGACACACATGCATTTTAAATGGACCAATCTTCTGTTGGTTGCATTTTCACTATGTAATTTATCATTAATATCTTTCAAACCAATACATATAAAACTAGGTCATCATCATTAAGTGTTGTATAATATTGCACTATGTGGGCAGAAGATAATTTGTTTAAGCAATCTTATAATAATGAACATTTATTTATTTCCAATTTTTGCTGTTATTAGACAGTTCTGCAAATAATATCTTTGAACAAACATTTGTGCACTCATTTATTTTCTTAGAAAAAAAATCCTAGAAGTGAAATTGATCATTCAATGGATATGTACATTTTATGTTTTGATACATTGATTTGTTTATTTATTTGTTCAATTATTTCCTGTCTCCTCCCTTGTGTGCTTTATTCTTTACTATGTTCTCAGTATCTACACAGTGTCAAATATATGTGTATTCAAGAAATATTTGTTGGAAGAACACTATTTCTAGATTGTTCTACAGAAAAGATGTACCAATATATACCAACATAAACACTGAATTAGAATGTCAGTATCCCCACACTATCACCAAAATCAGGGTTTTCTTCCAATTGGATAGGCAGTAAAGAGCATCTTTTTATATATTTATTGGTCATACTTACTTTTGTTTTGTGAGTTTCCAGCTCATATCCTTATTTTTCTATTTTTCTTATGTTCTTTTTCTTATTTGTAAAAACTCTTTGTATACTGAAGACTCTGTTACATGTTGCAAGTTTTTCTTGATTTTTTTATTTTTAAACTTTATATTTTCTGCTGTATGGAAAATTTCAGTTTTTATGTAGTCAAATATATCTTTCCCCTTCCCTTTTTTAAAAAAATTTAAAAAAATCATTTTATTGGCTGCACCATGAGGCTTGCATTATCTTAGTTCCCTGACCAGGGATCAAACCCGTGCCCGCTGCAGTAGAAACGTGGAGTCCTAACCACTGGACTGCCAGGGAACTCCCAGATTCCCTTAGTTTAGTTAGAGTTAAGAGATAGAAGATAGAGTTAGGTTGCAGCATTGTGGCAACCAAAGCTCTGCACCACAACTAATTAGACCCAGAATTAGAGGTCTCTGGTTAAAAGGGTGACTTTCTTCAAAGGGGACCAGCTATGCCATTCTCCTAGCATTTGTTGAGTCTGGCAATGCCCTAGGGCCTGGGGATTCCAAGAAGAAGATAAGGACACAATCTCTGTTCTTGGAGCAGGAACACTTTATCAGGGGTTTGTGTTACATACACAATTCACATTGATACCTTGTATCAAGGACTGTAACAGAGTCCTGTAGAAACTGTTCTTGAGTCCAGAGGAGGAACAGATTGTTTAGTGAGAGCCTTCTCCAAGTAGTTCGCCTGGAAGTTTGTGGGGACGTGGGTGGGAATTTGCCAGATATTGCTTTGTTGGGTAGTAAGTAGTTGATGGCCTCAAGTTGGACTGGAAGCTGACAGTCTGGATTTGAAGGCTGACTGCCATAGTAAGCTCCTTGTAAGATTGGGCAAGTTACTGAAGCTTGCTGATCTTCACTAATTTTTTTTCTTTTTAAAGAGGGACTGATATTAGTGCCTGCCTTGTTGGGGTTGTTGTGGGATTAAGTAAAATAATACACACTGAGCCCTTGGTATAAGCCTGGTGCATAGTAGTCTAGTCTATTTATTTTCTTGCCTTTCTATAAAGTTGCATGTAAATCACTCTGGACAAGTGATTATTGATCCCATTGTCAGAGCTCTTAAGGGTAAAACTATGAACCATTTGTGTCTTCTGAATCTGTGAATAATTCTCCTAATCTGGAAATTTCTCTCTTAATGTTGCTTAAATCCCAAACTGCTGCTTTTTACTGGTTCTCATGCTAGTCTGAAATTGTCATTACTTTTGCTTTGTTCTCTAGTACTCTGATGTTAAAGCAAATACATATTTAATTGTATAACTTCCTTTAATGTGCATAGCACTTGTTGTGTCTGTTTTGTGGTACTTGTTAGCATATTTCTTTTCTCCAAAATGAACATGTAAGTTCTTTAAGAGAAAGCGTATGTTTTCTAGATTTTTTTAAAGTTATCTTTTATTACCATTGTCTGTTTTTTAAAAAATTTAAAAATTAATTATTTTTGGCTGCATTGGGTCTTCATTGCTGCACATGGGCTTTCTCTAGTTGCGGTGATCAGGGGCTACTTTTCACTACAGTGTGCGGGCTTCTCATTGTGGTGGCTTCTCTTGTTGCGGAGCACGGGCTTCAGTAGTTGTGGCACGCGGGCTCAGTAGTTGTGACTCACGGTCTCTAGAGCACAGGCTCAGTAGTTGTGGCGCAAGGGCTTAGCTGCTCCGCGGCATGTGGGATCTTCCCGGACCAGGGCTGGAACCCGTGTCCCCTGCATTGGCAGGCGGATTCTTAACCACTGCGCCACCAGGGTAGTCCCTGTTTTCTTAATTTTATCTCTCATACTATTTTAGCACAGTGCCTTCCACCTCATAGGCACCTAGTAAATATTGACCAAATGAAGGAATAAACATAAATGCATGAGGCTGCCAGAATAGCTGGTGTGATCTCA